TGGAATACCCAGTAATACTGACCTCAGTGTCCCCAGTATACAGTGTGGAATACCCAGTAATACTGACCTCAGTATCACCAGTTTACAGTGTGAATCCCCCAGTCCAGCAGAGAGCAGCTTCACTCCTGAATCCTGCAGGTCATTGTCACTCAGGTCCAGCTCTCTCAGGGGTGAGGAGTTTGATCTGAGAGCTGAAGCCAGCGCCTCACAGCATTTCTCTGAGAGATTACAGCTGTTCAGCCTACAAAAGGATTCGTGTTGTTATACACACACAGACCAGTATATATCCTGCACATCTGTGATAACAGTGGTACAAAATATCCAGACACGTTTTTTTCAGCATAAGATGCAGACTACACACAGTAAAAAAAAAAAAAAGGAAAGAAAAGAAAAATGCAAATATTCCGGCAGCAGGACTGCCAAAAATGACTGTTAAGAGACATAGAATGTGAAAAAACAGTAATTATCATCTTTGCACTTTTTTGGGTAAATATATCAATTTCTTATGGGTAAAGCATGAGTAAAGCAAACCCAAGTTGCTCAATTACATTTAAAACATGGGGCCATATTCAGCATCTGATGAAATGCCCCATTTTGCTCTTTACACAGCACAGGGTCACAGCACAGGGTCAACCATCATGCAGCACCCCTGGAGCTGGGAGTTAAGGGCTTTGCTCAGTGGCCCAAAGACATGTGACTGTTCTGCTGAGGCTGGGCATAAACTGAGAGAACTATGACAAAAAATAAACACTAGGTAAAACAAAAACCAAAACTATAAACACTGAGGACAAACAAACCCAGAAGAGGTAAGATTGGTATTTTCCAGCCTCAAATCCCCAAATCCTGGGTTTACAGAATGAGTCGCATGCTCAGTCCACTACACTGCATGGTGGTCTAGGGAACAGGGAAAACACACTAGGGAAGAAGACCCTAAGCCTGAATTAATCAAATTAAACCTGAAGTACTGAGGGCAGTAGATTGGCGTAGCAGGTAGCGCAGTTGCTGCACATCTTGTGTGCGGCACGTTTAGCCGTGTGGGCGTGGCTTTTTGGCAGATTCTCCAGTTTCCTTTCCCTGTTCTTCCCATATTATATTATATTATATTCCATCCATCCATCCATTAACTTCCGCTTATCCGAGGTCGGGTCGCGGGGGCAGTAGCCTCAGCAGGGAAACCCAGACTTCCCTCTCCCCAGCCACTTCCTCCAGCTCCTCTGGGGGAATCCCGAGGCGTTCCCAGGCCAGCCGAGACATAGTCCCTCCAGCGTGTCCTGGGTCTTCCCCGGGCCCTCCTC